AGCAAAATGTTTTAATGATTCGTTATCATTTTTGTTCTATGACTTCAAGTGTAGTACGAGGAAACAACAATATTGCCATCCCTGTTTTGTTCTCTTGTCCTACCACTTTCTTTCCACTCATAAATTAGTAAATAGGTTTTGATAGGGTCAGACCCTTTTGTCCCTAGACTTGCCAGCTGCCATTTAACTTCAGTGACAAGTTTTCATCCACGAATTTCCGCAAGCTTGAGTGTTGTATTCGCAGCGTCCTCTCAGTCGGGCGCGAGTAGGCTATTCGAGATCTAATAAGGCTGTGCTGTGTTTACAGCTGAATGAGTCCATCTGCGCCTTGCAGAGAGGACTGCAGGCTGCCATGGAGCTCAGCCCTGCTTACATAAGGAAAGGATGGTTGGGAATGCTCTAATTCTGTCTTCCTCCTTCCACATCCAGTTGTCATCGGTGGCTTCTAGCAGAGAGCACCTGCTTGCTGACTCAACTCCCGAGGTCGAGTGTTCGTCAAGGCTGTGTCACAGAAATCTGTAGCTGAGTTGACCCAAAGCTTGATTGCTGCTGCTCTGTGAGGGACAATTAATTTGAAAAGAACTTAAAGGCTGTAACGTTAAGAGTATTTAAATAAGTTCATCTTTAACTGGAAAGTTTATTGTCATTGATAGGTACTTTGCAAAGCTGATTCTGGTATTTTGGGGCAGTTCGGATCACCTGTAAGAATACAGACAAAATGTGTGTAATGAGCTAAATGTTTCCTGTTCAGTTTAATTGTATTGATACTTGACTGTCTCTCTCAAGCTGTGATGGAATAGGGTTGATTTACATTGCAACTAGACAAACATGCAAACTGCAAAAAAAAAGAAAAGAAAATGATAGTAGCTTTTGCACTGTTTCCATGCAGTTAATATTAATAAATGACGGGGTTTTAAACTACTTTTAGCTGTTCAGTGAGGTTTATCATTTGTTGTAGCGTGCAGACCTGAAGGAACCACTTATTTTTCAGGAGATTTTTACTCCAATACTCATTTTGTCTTTTCTGTGTGTGTATGTTTGTTTATGGATGTCAGTAAGTAGCTTCTCTCAAAGAAGAGCATGCCAGTTTTTTATGTGATTTTGTTGACATTGTATACTTAATCAGTTAATGTCTTCTCTAACTAAAAACTCAAGCTTCTAATTCTGTGTTGCTGACTTGAATGGCATTCTGTTCGATAACAGACAGCAGACTTGTGTTTTCAGCTGGACAGAGTATATCTGACAATAAATAGATTGTTTAATCTGTGTACCTAATATTTTTATTTTTCTGAGAGCATAGGCAGCATTATTAGCTATTTATGATAGGGTTGCTAATCTGATAAGTGATGAATTGTGACTATCAAATGCTGTGTCACTTATGTCAGTGTTTTTATTTTGTTTTCCTTTGGTACACAGGGAATGTTTAGAGGTTTGTTTTGTTTGGTTTTTTTTTGTAAATTAACAAATTTCTCAGTGTTTTGAAAAGTACAGAATCCATACCCCACTGCCAACTTCGTAATTGGCATCATCTGCGTGGTTTTGGGTATTCAGAAATATTGACCTTTAAGATCGGTTCAGTATTTTGCAGTGTTTGGCTTGTTTCATGATCCAAGCCGATGCATCTAAAAACATTTTTTTCTCTGATATAAGGGAAGATGATTGCACAACTGCGTTTCATTGCTGATTTCCCTGAAATATGGTAATGTAGGTTATTGCTTTGACTTGCTGTGATATAGAGGTATCAGTGTAAATAATATCTTCATCTGGTTATTAATTCTTCTAACAGAAAGCTCTGTCAAAGTGTTATTTCATTTTCACATTGAAATGAAGACAGACCCAAGTCCTACTTTAAAACTCTGTGACACCTGCCTGAAAAGTTAAGATGTAGCTCACTTGCTTGTTACTTTTTAATTGACAGTATCTTTTCTGGTTTTCTGTTTTTTTCAGTTCTAATCACAATGTAATCCTTGCTGTTACCCAGTTGCTTGATTTCAGTAGGGATGTTACTCGGAGTCCTCTCCTGGTTACTACTGGAAGAATAAAATAGAAAGTCACTTCCTGCATCTTTCATACAAGGGAGCTGTGCAACTCTCTGAATCACCCAGTATTTGGCTGGTAATATTTGTATTTTAGTGAGAATATAAGTGCAAAAGATTGTCATAGTCTCATCTTTCCCTTAAGTTAGTTCAGACATAGTATTAATAAGTAAATGAATTTGTGTTTTAATTTTAATCTGTGTTGGATCTCAGTCCTGCCATTTGACTGAAAGTGAAACAGCTGAACTTTCAGAGTTCTTTTAAATCCAAAGTGGACTCTTTTTCTATTCATACCAGCTGCAATTACTCCAGAATGGTCTTCAGCCTGATCTTCCAATAGTTGAGCCTTTGAAGATTTCTGGAATCTAACCTCAACTGATTTGCCGTGCCTTATCCTTGAAGGCCTTTAGCTGCATTTCTGCAGTAAGAGTTCTCTGCCAAGAAGCCTTCTTCAAGCTGGACTGTACAGTCCAGCTGCTGATTCTAGGATCCGATCTTGACTTCCAAACATCTGTCTTTTGCTCCTTAGCAGTATGAAAGACAGGACCAAAAAAGCATAAGATTTGGCTTTGCAAAGAGTTACAGAGGTTTTCTTTGAAAGAGCAGTGCTTAAGATGCTACAGACATAAGCAATGAATTTTCTAAATGTGTGCCTTCTCTTTCTTTGTCTTCGGGGCCTGAGGGCTGTTAGGAAGGTGGAAAGGCTTGCAGGTAGCTCAGGGTTCATAGTTTGTAGATTAATTGATATTACGGTTGATACAGATATGATATGCAAGAGCATGTTGCTTTTTCTGTGTTTTACAAATTCTAGAGAAATTAGCACCTCAGATTATTTCAAAGTTACACTTTCGCTACTTCAGTTGCTTAGGCATTGTTTTTGTATGTTGTCCCATGTCTTTGATCTTGAGAGTGAATGTTTAAAGATAATAATCTCTTTGGTTCGTGGAGAAGGTTTAAAGGCCTTTCTAAAATCATGGATTGGATCATTTTTCAGTTGTCATTTTGAAGTGAGAGGTCAGGCCTTCATGGGATTGAACAATTACTCCTTTTTCTAGGGGAAGGGAAAGCTTCCTGCATTAAGTGTTCATATAGTCCAAGTATTGGAGCAGATTTTTCTTTCACCTCTCTTTTTCTTGTCATGCCAATATTTACAGGAACTGATTTTGTGCCCTTTATTCTACTCGGGTATATTTATCACAAGGACACTTAAAGGACAGTGTCTTGTAATTAAAGCTGTGCTTTTCAGCTTTTGAAAAATTGTGACCATTTCAGGCATGGAAAGGGTAGCTGTTACAGGGTTTGTGTATACTATGGATTTACAGTTCAGAGTTCTTTAAAGGATGCAGTAGGTTTAAGTTCATATGTGTTAAAGATGTGTGATACTTCAGCAAAGTATTTCTCTCTAACAGAAAGATGCATAACTCAACTTTGCAAAGCGAAAGTTAATTGAGCAACTTAGTCCAGAATTGGGAAGTGTAAGTCCACCAGACATTGTTCTTAGTTGTGGTTTCTCGCCCAAAATATCTTGTGCTGAAATGTTTCCGAGAACTTCCTCAACTCCAAACTTCTTGAGTTTGTTTAGGAGAATTTTAGCAGGAAAAAATAAGTGGTCAGGATGTAAGGTACTGATTTGATTTGATTTATTTATTTATTTCCTTGTAAATGGTGTGTTGGATGAGACAGGACTCGGAGGTAGGTGGGATGCTGAGCAGAAATACTGTATGAATCAGAATCTTGGGTTCCTCTGAGGAAATGTAAACAGGACGCTGTAAACTTCTAGTAGTGTTGTTACTTCCTATGCCTGATTCTTACATACGTGGTGAGAAGTACTGACTTTCTTAAAGGGACACGCCCGGCCTTGCGTGTCTAGATAATAAAATCAATGTTACCTCTTTTTTGCATCCTTTTGCGTTCTGTTGTTGATGCACTTTGTTGAGTTGTGGCAGTGTTTGAAATGGAATTCTATGCGTTTTTTTCCTCTTTAGTGTCCTTAACCTGCAGCACAAGTCAACTGATTTTTATTTTCATTTTATTAATACTGCGGTGAATGATCTTACATATTTTAACCCCTCCTGCCAATTTCTTTTCTTAAAGTTTTTTTAAATAAGGATAAATTCCTTAGTAATACAGTATCTTCTCAAGTGTAAAATGTGTTTAGCGTACTTGGATAAATATTTAAGATAATAAGGAAAATATTAGTAGGACTGACTTCAGCCATTTGAGGAAGAGGATATAGAAGCTTGCAACTTGTATATCAGAAGTTGTGTGACTATGGGAGTTCTAAACAAAAAAACTGTATAGGCTTAGACTGGATCTGTTAAAAAAAAATCTTTTTCTCCATTGAACGCATGCTTACACAGTTTGACTTGCAGTTTATTGCATCTGTCAGCTATTTGAAACATTGGTGTTGGTTTTACAACTGTAAAGGCAACTCATAAAGCTTTTACATTGCCAGAAGTAGAAGAAAGAAAAGATGCCTAAATTTTTCTTAAAGAAAGAGAAAAAAAGAGAAAGGAGCTGGGGAGGGCAGAAAACCTGTGTAGTCAGAACTGCTGAGTATGGCCTATTAAAAAGTATTTTTTAGAAACATGTGATATAATAATATTAAAAGTAATTACTGACAGCATCATGCTCATACCTAGAGTATTTGGCAGCATTTTATTTTGTGGAATCTTGATGGGTGATTTTGATGCACAGAAAGAATTTGTTTCAAATTACTAGGAAGAGGTGATTGTTTATCTTCTTAGAGACTGTCAGTTAGAGGGATGGATATTCCTTCAATCCTGTGTCAGGAAGCAGTAGTGTTTATGCCCAAGATCTTCAAGATCCAGTAAAGTTAGAATCTTGTATAAGTCAAAATCTTACAGGAGTTTGAATAGTTTCGGCTTCAAAGAATTCTGGTTTCTACAATAAATTATAAATAAATGAAATGTGCATACAAATGTTTTGATGCTTGTTTTGCAGATGATGTTCTGACACTGAATACAGAGAACAGTAATTTTCCCTGCCAAGTACCTAACTTCCGTAAGTGTGAGATCTGTTTGCTGTCTTTTCCGAAAGAGTCCCACTTCCAGCGCCATATGAGGGATCATGAGCAAAATGACAAGGTATGCATTTCAGTAGATATAAACTTAGGAAATACAAGTGCATATTGATATTTTCATACACTGACAAGAAAAGTTAACACAAGAAATAATTTTGTAATCACATCACTAATAGTTGCTATTTGGGGACCTCAGAGTTTTATGAAGTTTCTCTTTCATGTTTCCTTTGAGACAGGCCCTTACTTTGATGCCGTTTAGTTGGATTGTTTCCGGTTCAGTAATTTTTAATTTTAGCCATTTTCTGTTTTATGAAGTTTCTCTTTCATGTTTCCTTTGAGACAGGCCCTTACTTTGATGCCGTTTAGTTGGATCGTTGCTTCCAGTTCAGTAATTTTTAATTTCAACCATTTTCTTTGATTTGTAAAGTATTGAGGTAGATGAGAAAATGTGTGGATTTTTTTTAATTGAATTTACAAACTGATTCTACACATTAGCAATAAAAAAAAATTGCTTATATTGCTTAACTGGACCCCGCTGGTCTCTTATAGCTGTTTCAGTAATGTCAAGCAACCTAATCTAGTATGTATGTATTAGTCAGTAGATTCATGTCATCACTTCAGCTGCTAACAAATCAAATTTGGGAAAGAATGAGAAAAATACAGATGTGTGATTAAGACTAGACTTTTTAAATTAAGCTTTTGCCATAGGTTTCATCTGTAATCTGAAGCATTTAATTTCTGTTCCTTGCTTTCTATTTCACAAAGCTAAAACTACTTTACATGTCATGGAAAAATAATTTTATTCCTGTTTGAGGTAGCTGTAGATTCAGATTAATTTTTACAAAATGTAGGACTTTGAGCTGATAATTCATGTATTCAAAGAACTACTTACACAAGTTTCAACATTGTAAAGTTGATACATAAAAAATGGGAGTTGATATTGTTAAAACCATGCTATTGCACACTTCTATAAAGTGAAGGTGCTCTTAAAGAATGAGAACTGATTGTGCAGATACCAACTGAAGAGCAGTCAGTCCTAGCATAAACTAAGCTCTTTACCTTGCTGGTTGAATTATTTATTTTGCTTTAAGGAGAATTCACAATCTCAGTTAAAGTAGGAAAATTTATTTCCATCTCTTGCTCATTCTTCTCTCCTGCTGACTCCACTGTCCTCAGATAGTCTCAGTTTTGAGTCTCTGCTTTCTTTAGTTCCCCTGCCTTCTTTCCACATATGCTCTTGAAATACTGTATTTGAGTTTTCAGTAGTGAGATGCAAAGAAAAGGAAATAGTTCAAACTGTTATTATTAAGGACTATTATTGTATATAGGTACTTGAATTACTCTTTTTTTATTTTAAACGATTTGTATGGTTATATATGTTACCGAGGGTATATGTAACTTATGAGAAGATTGAATTTTGTCTTTATTTTTGTGGTTTTAACAAACAGCCTCACCGATGTGACCAGTGTCCGATGTCATTTAATGTTGAATTCAACTTGACACTTCATAAATGTACTCACAATGGTGAAGATCCTACGTGTCCTGTGTGCAACAAGAAATTCTCCAGGGTAGCCAGCCTGAAAGCTCATATAATGTTGCATGAGAAGGAAGAGGTAATTCATTAAACTTAATAATTTAAATTTTGAAAAGACATGTCATAAGGGTTGTACTTAATCCCTTACCTATATGCTTTAGATTGGAGGATTGAATAAATGGTCTCATTCAGAAGAAATATAAAGTGGGGAGTCTGTTTTAATCATAGTAGCAGAAATTAATACATTGGATATAAGCAAGTGTTCCCATCTTGTCTTTAGTAACTGATTAGTTATTTACAAAAACTTTTATTCTGAAGCAATTTCTGTGGTTTCATGTACATTGATAAGCACCCATGTAATAGTCTGGGTGATCCCTTTTGATGGCAGATGCCATGGTGGGGCACTCTTGCCATCTATTTTTTGCATCATGAAGCTGTTCCCTTATCTAGAACTCCCACCCCTTTTTTTGAGTTGTTGTTTTGCTTGAGAGGAGTTTTTATTCCTTTCCCTCTCACAATTTAATTTTCCGCTTTCATAAGGCATTTATTAAATTCTTATCCAGCAGTTAATGCATAGTAGTATCTTGCACACTTTATAGTCAGTACTGTGTTATTGCAGTTGCCGGAGTCGATTGTACTGCCCAAAATACCAAGTTTTCAATCATGTAGTTACCTCTTCCTCCTGTGAAGGCTTTTTTAAAATCACCCTTTGCGTTGGAGGTTTGGAGCTGAGTCAAGCATGCACTTTTATTGCCAGACTTCTAGTCATAAACATAACAATTGTATGTTTCTCCATACTGACTGCAGACAGCTTACAAGGGTTTCGACCAGTAGGTTTGGGATGATAGGCCTATTTGCATTTTTCCCTAAACCAGGCAAGGAATGCAATGCCATCTGTAGAGAATGTATTCCTTCTTTAATCTTGTTATCAGTTCACGTTTTTTCATGGACACAACCGCGTTAAAATGAGAGGACTTGAGTACAGTTTTGTTGCATGTTAATGTATCTATAATCATATATAGCTTAATGGGTATTTATTGAGGCAACTTGATTTATTAAGTGCTTAAAACATCAGAATAAGGAAACTGAGTGTTGAGAAAGATGCCTAAGAGTGATTTTTTAGTATTCATTTCTATCACTAAGTGATATTTCATCCACTTCAGCAGCTCTGATTTTGGTACTTGATGCAGATGTCAGAAGAATAGGTTGCGCGATGCCTTCCAATTTAAAATTCAATCTGCAGCTTGAAAATTAAATTTATAAAAATATGAAGACCTTTCAATTGCTAATGAATGTATTCTTATAATGCCCTGTAATTCTGTGCTAAACCAGAGATGAACGTAACAATTAATTCACAGAGAATTGCAAGAGTGAATTTCCCAGTAGTTATGCACAGAGCCTGTAGGGGAGCTGGAATTTGAACTTGAAGCAGAGAGTCTTGACGATGACACTAGCTGTCATTCAGGAGTTTTTCCATAATGTGCAGGTTAAGAGGTGAAGTTATCAGCGGAGTACGTTCTCCTCCTGTTTGCTTTTCTTACTTTTGCTGTTAGAAGGGTTGAAAATCTGAAAACAGAGCAAAGATACATACTCACTTAGAGAACACGTGTAGCAGTTGAGGAGGTTGCTGCACAAAGCTGAGGTTTGGATAACTTCAGCCTTGTTTTGTGCTGCATCAGCCAGCTTTATCTACAGATGAGTGCAGAAGGTCAGTAACAAGAAACTAGTATGATTAGCTTCTTGAGCTCTCCAATTAGGTTTGGGAGAGCGTGTCTGTCTGTGTTGAAATGCAGAGTTTCGTGATTGATTGCTCCTGTGAGATGTTCCAGAAGGAATTTTCTGGGCTATTGAAATGGAGCTTCAAGAGACTAACTTTTCTCCTTATGTTCTTTGGTGATTTGTGTGTGATAAACTGGTGTAATGGAAAAAACCCATGCATGAAGTTCCTCGCTTTCACATAGCTCTCTTTTAAGAAGTCAAAAAGAACATACCTTGTGTAAATATGTCCAACCTTGTAGAGGATTCTTGGCTTTGTCTGTTTCCTCAGTGGAAATGGGCAGCGATATCTGCTGCTGCTTTTTGACCTGGTGAGACAGGAATGCTAAATACAAACTGAAAATTTTTAATTTATTGCACTAAAACTGCTAATATGTCTTCTTCCTCTGTGAGCATGAGGTTTTCTTGGGCTTTAGGAAAACCTTAATATGTTGAAAAAGTTAAAACTGATATTTGGTGGGTATATCTAAATTCTGTTAGTAAAGTATCCTGAGTGTTTGTGGTGGTTTTTTTGTTTGTTTGAATAATGTCCACTGTATTTGATTTGCGTTGTCTTACAACTTGGGAGCAATGGTCTTTGAAAAAGTGCAAATTAAAATAATCTTTTGCAGTCATTGATACTAAACAGGTCAAGATGGTGAATTCCAAAGTGTTCCTTCAGATACTGCATCTGACAAGATAAATGTAGTTGTCACAGGTGGAATTAGATGAGTAAACTTTATAAAATGAGTTCTGAGTTTGGGAATTTTAAGTATTATCTAGCAATGTACGAACAGCCCCTTTTGTTTAATGTTAGATGGTGAGTTTAACCATAGTGAGGTTAACAACGTACAGTTACTTTTTCAGTGTGTGGTGGGAATTTTTTGTTTGCTTGAGGGGCAAAAAATAAATCTGGTACTGCCTATTCCAGAGGGAGGCTATTTGGCTTGGTATATTGCTGGGTTTTTGTACAGTTTTTCTATTTGCCATGTCCTTGCTTTCCTACAGCAAATACTACAGTAATGAATAAAAATACATAGACTTCCGTTGTCTCAGATACGTCATCTTAGGCTGTTCTTTTGTTTGTGAAAGTTGCTGAATAGAATATGTGTAATAGCAAATTAATCTCATAGATAATGTGTGTCTGAAAAATGCTGAGATGCGATTGACAGACTCTCAATTTTGGGGACCATGAGCTTGATACAGTATACGTTGTAAGCTTCTCTTCAGGTAATTTTTCCCCACTTATACAAAAGTATTGTCACGAACCAAATTTGTTGTATAAGTACAATGCTTTTCGATAGGAAGTATTTTTATTCATTGAATGTAGATCCTGGAGAAGAAAGTAATTTATTGTCCCACACTGTAACTTGAGTCCAGTAATAATGATCTCTAGGTTAGATTAAACAAGTCGTTTTTGAGGTAGTGTTTAATTTCATTAAAAGACTTCAGATTTTTAAGTTCTTGTGTGGAAATGTCTGGCAATATTGCAGAATTTTTGTTTTTTTTCCAACTTTGGGAACAAAGCTTTTTAAAAATAGCACTGCATCTGTTCCTCTTGATTAAAACATTCTTGTCAATATCTTTATTTAAATGAACACTGTTTATTTTTCCCCCTTGTTGATCATTCAAGGAGGGGAAAAAATGAGGGGAGGATAAAAAACATTTCCATTTGCGGAAAATGAACCAAGACCAAAACTGTCTGAAGTTTCTTACGCATACCAGTAAGGAACATGTAACAGAGGTATTGCCAAAGAGATGGTGAATATTTTTAGACGTTTAATCTTAACTCTTTGCTTAGATTTTGTAAAATAAAGATACATTGAGAAATAAAATTAATGGTTTTGAAAAGCAAAAGGAAGTCAAATAAATGCAGAGCTTTTAGTTTTCATTGAAACAATATTTGACTTTGGTTCTTCCTGTGAATTTCAGAGAAATGGCAATGCTTTTGCATTAAACTTTACAAGTATAATTACCATTCTAAATAACATGGAATACTAATACAACTGGAAAGTGGTAGGTTTAACACTGCTGTAAAATTAATGGGTTGAAGTGGTACCTCTCAAAAACGTTCTGTGTCCCTATTTGTTTCTGTCATCTTTTCTGTGAAGGTAGTTTAAGAAAAGTCAGTAGTAACTGTAGTGGGATTACTATTAAAAAGTAAGTGACAATCTGTATCATTTTAACCAGTAAAAGTGTAAAATCGCTGAATCTACAGTTAAGATCAAAGTCAGTAGTAACTGTAGTGGGATTACTGTTAAAAAGTAAGTGACAATCTGTATCGTTTTAACCAGTAAAAGTGTAAAATTGCTGAATCTACAGTTAAGATATTTTTGGTTAGAAACTGTATTTTTTACAAATGTTTGTGTAGACCATAGCATAATGGTACTGCAGTAAGTTTCTGGGTGTATCTTGACCTAGCCTACCAAGGAAATAGGGGGTGGTGATGATGGTCCTGAACTGCTTGTTTCTGCTATCGTATGAACTTTCTCAGAATTCAGTTTCAGTGGAGTTTCTTAAAATATAAATACTATTTATTGTTCATGATTTATGTTATGGGGCTCAAACTTTTTTTGCTTATTACTTTTATTGCTGCTTACTTTCAGCTGCCGATGTCCATAGAAGGATACATTCATCTACTTGAGCAAAGCTTATGCATGTGTACCGCTGTTTGGGAATCTTTTGAAAAATCAGTCTCTATTATCTCTTTCAGAATCTTATCTGTTCAGAGTGTGGAGATGAATTTACTTTACAGAGTCAGCTGTCCATACACATGGAAGAACATCGTCAAGAATTGGCAGGCAGTAGGATCCACAGCTGCAAATCTTGCAAAAAGGAATTTGAAACTTCCTCACAGCTAAAGGAGCATATGAAAACTCACTATAAAATAAGGTGACAATCACGGGCTTGTAACAAAATGAGCAGATGTTACTTTTATGATGATAGCTGGAGAAAGCAGGAGTAGCATTTCCAGTCAGCAAAGTACCATGATCTATGCAGATCATTTCTTTTGTTTGGTATGCTGTTATGAAATGGCATTTTTTTTTTAAAACCTTGCTAAAGTAGGGGGCTATCTTTGGAGGCCTGCCTACTCCCCTTCCTCCCCCTCCCCGTTTTCATATTTAGGCACCCATACTAAGCATAGTTCCATCTGCTAGCTATGTGTAAACACAAGTTAAGTTTTTCTGATACAAAGTGATTTTTAAAGTGTGTTTGTGATTTTAGGACTAATGGCAGTACGTTGAAGCAAATGTACATTAATTTTACATAGCATTTATTATAATTGCAAAAGTCCTAATGCTTACCTTCTGCAAAGAAATCAGTTGTTCCTTGCAGTTTAATCATCTTTTACAAGTGGTCCTCATCACAACCTGCAGTGAGTTTCCTGTAAATCAAAAAGCACAAAACGAAGGGAAGAAAAAGCCCTAATAAATGCTGTTCTTATTTTCAGTGAATATTTATTTTGTCCTTTGTTTCAGCTTTATAGTTTAACTTTACTTTTAGGAAGATGAAAATTACTTTAAGTTAGAAGAAAGAAAAACTTACTCCTATTGGTTTAGTTTATACATTAAGAAAGCCTAAAGTTTTGACAGGTGATCTCTCTTGTAATCTTTACTCTGTTTCTATCAAAAGCAGATTGGAAAAATATGTATTTAAAAATGAGAAATACTATTTCCAGTAATATCTGCTTTCTATTAGCAGATGATAGAGGTTGGAAGATCTTAATAGTTATGTTCCAGAAGGTTTAAAAAAGTGGTGTTGTAAATTTCCATTTGCAAACTGAAAATTGAGGGTTTGAGGTATAAAGTTATGTTTGTATTGAGTTATATAGATGTATAATGTTACACACAAAAAACATTCTTGTTGTGGACATCTCCTGTGTAAGTTAGGATGAATACATAGAGAATAGAGGAGTGAATATAATATGATGGCTTTGATTTTGAGAGTATTATGCATGCTACATTCTGACATAAATGAGATCTAAGTGCTCCATGATCATTTGTTTATCCTTATGTTCTTAAACTGGAATTATTTCTGGATTCAGAGCTTCCGTATCTGAGATTCACCTTATTTATGAGGTCAGATGTAGAAACATGTTGCATTTGTATTCAATAAACTACTGTCCATAATGGTGCTTTACTGTCCTTTTGCTAGTAGTATCAATACAACCCATGTATGTGAGCTGGGTTAATCATTTGTGTAAGTGTTCCTGCTCCATTTCATCACAAAGCTAATGTAACTCAGACCTTCTGTGTTTCAGTAGAAATTATTTTAAAAGAAAAATGTGGAAATTCAGAATTTATTTTTTTATTTGACACAATGTTCTCTTTGTTGAACATGAAAAGATGAATTGATGAATATTGAAAAGTTAATGTTTGATCTGACTTGTTTACCTGTGTATAGTGTATTTAAAGTTCAAAGACATACATCAATTTGAGTCCTGCTTTTCAGTGTAAAATAAGCTTCAGAAATTTTTTAGGATTTAAAATTATAGACCCTTATTCCCGTAGTTTTTTTTCACAGAGTGGTTGCACTTTCCCTTCCCAAAAAGGTATTTGTTCTCTCTCTGAAGCGTTTGAATGGAAAACAATTTTGAAGTTATAATTTAAATATAGTATCTACCTTCCGCTAAAAAGCAAATAGTCATTGTAACTCTAAATGATGAAATACTTTAAAGGTGGTCTGATCTTTAAGGGTTGTCCCCACAATTGCCTCCATATTGAGTATTATTTCTTCTATTAAAGTGCTGTAGCTGTAGTAGAAACAGATGATGTTGCTCATCAAAGAGTGTATTCTGACAATCAGGCTGGTCTAGATCTGTCCTGAGGTGGAAAGAAGAGGTTGTAACATCTGTGCTCTTCCCACTCCTCCTCATCAATCTTCAGTTGACTTTACTCTGGATGCTTCAGTAGATTTTAGTAGATATAATTAATACGTAAAAGTAAAATATATTACACTCTGTGCTCACTCTGCAAGAGTATAAAAAGAGTTTAAAAATGCATGTAATGTTTGTTTGAAGTAATTGGAAGGGAAGGTGTGTTTTACTTTAAATATACAGTGAATATCTATGTTCTTTTAGTGTAGAAAGATGCAGCATTTGAGCAGAAGTTTAATGATCTCCTGTGTTATGCACAGACTGTTACTTGCCTGCTATTTTTTGTGTTAGACCAACTTGTGTTTCAAGGTGGTGGTGGTGTTCTGCACATCTGCTCCACATTAGCTAAATCTTTCAGTTGTTCAGAAAAACACCAGGTATTTAAATTTTGTGTAATTTCAGTTAGCTTTAAGCAGTACTGACAAGCAGGATTATTATATAGGTGTAGATACTCGGGCACTATGGAAAATGTGGAGTGCTCTAGACTCGGTATTGGTTTGCCCGCTGCCTTCTGGTTTGTGCTTGTTTAGCTGAGTTGTTGTGATGGTTTGTCAGACCTAGGTTTTGTTTTTCCTTTTTTCCAGCCTAAAATCAGTTCTTGTTTTTCCACATTGCTGCTGTTGTTTTTCAGCAGTCATTTAAACTGATTAGTTTGATTTGTAGACAAATGAATTTTGGGAATTTATATCATCTGTTAGTATGTCTCTGTGGAGATTGTGGTTTGTATTTGAGGGGCAGTGGTGAATAAGTTGGGTTGTTGAATTCTTAATCTGTTCTTGTTAGACTTCAGCAATTGCATTTGTACTCCAGTTCGTGAGACCTTCATATTATCAGTAAGAATTAAAGTCTTGCTATGTCCAGGGAAAAGAAATGGAGTTGCACAGGGCTGAAAGTTCCCACCAAAATAATAGTTGTGAAGTCACTGCATACTTCTAGCAGGGTTTACAGTGGAAATGTCTCTAGAGAGCCTCTAAGATGTATCAATTTTATTACAGAAATAACTAAAATTCTTGGTGCTTATAGGTACTTAGAAAAGTGCTGGTTACATTGTTCTTTTAGTATCATTAAAGAGTTTGGTTTTTAATTTATACACTCTGTGTTAAAAAAATGCTGGGGTAAAATAAACTTCAAATTAATGTTTAATATTAAGATTATTTTATTTAAATTCTTTTTTTTTTTTTTTTTTTTTAATGACAGGGTATCAAATACCAGATCTTACAACAGAAACATTGACAGAAGTGGCTTTACTTATTCCTGTCCTCACTGTGGAAAGACGTTCCAGAAACCGAGTCAGTTAACACGACATGTTAGAATACACACAGGTAAGACTGTGGAAGTAATTATTTTAGTTTGCATTTGTTTTAAAAAAGTCAATTAACCTGTGAAATGCTGAATATTTTTCTCCCTGTTGGGACATGAAATAATAGTAATACATTTTGCTCGTTAGATGCTGTTACTTGTTGGTTTAAAGCAACCTTTATGTAATCCCTTTGCTTAGCAAATTTATGTGCTTTTAAAATTTCCGGATATATATATCACTAGAAACAGTTAAAAAAAAATTAAGAACTTTATAGGTTTCATTTGTTACAGAATACCAGTTTTGGTACCTAACGTTTCAATGGGCCCTAAAATTAGAATCCCTAGATAAGGGCCAGTCAGCTACTCTAAGATCTTGCATACTTTGGAGAACAGGTTTTAAAATTTACAATCCCCAAAAGAGCAGAAATACCTGAGAAAGAATAATACTACTAAAATAGTGGCCTTGCTTTTGGTTTTAGATTGATTTATTTAAAGTTACTGCCCTGTATTTTCTGTACTTACTGTAACTGCTATTTTCAGGATGTCTGAAGTGAACATGGGAGGTGATAAACCTAGATTGTAATTTTGATATTTGAAGAAGTGCAAGTGACTGTTCAAATTTTAGAATGAATAGCGAATGTTTTTTGCTAAATTACTGTAATAAATAGATGCATGTTTAACCATTAAGCAGTTGAAATAACTGAAAAATGCCAAGCATAAAATAATATAAAAGTTTTTGAAGTTTACAGAGGGCTGTAAGAATAGTTCTTAAGTTTTAACCAGCCGTTCATGGTATAGCAGGAGTTTGGCTTTAACCAAAACCTTCATTGGAGGTGCTCTGGTTGTGTGCAATATGTAAGTATTTTCCATCTTGTGAATAAATTGCTGTTTAGTTTTTAGCTAATTCAGGTAGTCAATTATGTAAGCGTGCAATGTTGTTTGTATTACAGTCCATTCAGACAGTGATGTGATGAGTTGCCATTTACAACAATGACTTTGTTTACCAAGGGAGAAATAAAAATTCTGTTGTGTGACTCTTTCTTAGGAATCTTTTTAAGTTTTATAGATCTCATTATAGAACAGTAACACAAGAGGTCACCCTTGTACCTGCTTTAATTGAAAATTAACTTTCTTATTTGAGAGTCTTGTCTCTATTTGATACAATATTTTAGCTTATTCTAGTCAGAATTAAAAAACCAAGATTATAGTTGGTTGAGGACACTTTTTTTAAAGCTTCAAAAAGTTCAGGAGCATTTGTAGTTATTTTGAAGAATAAAAAGACATTTGTCTATTGGGAAACCGGAGACAGAAAATGTCATTCCAATCTGCACATGACAGTAGGTCATTTTAAGTTCCAAGTAGCTAGAGAATACTCCTTTAATCTGTGAACTACGTTATTGCTTTAAATCTGCAGACAATCTGTCTGCCATCCAATTGCTTGAGGTACTGTAAAATAGGTAGGAAAGAAGAACTCTCCTTTAAAGAATTTAGAACACTTAAGTCATTAAATCCTTAAAGAGCATGTCTGTGCTACAGACTGTAGTGCTGTCTGTAAAGCATTACATTAGTGTCTTCAATTGCAATACTTTTTTTGTTTAGTGCTACTTTTGTTCATAACTGTTAATTTCAAGAACTTACACCCTTTGGGAAAAAAATCCAAGTCTCAGGGACTGCAACTCCTGTATTAATAACTAAGTAATGAACCCTTCATTCACTCTCCCTTATTAAGTTATACTTGAGAAATACAGAAATTCCACATTTCCACACTAGAATTAAGATACAGTTTTTAGAATGAGATTTGCTTAAATAGGCAAACTTAACCTGAAGCAGTACTTCTGTGTGTCTACCAGCAGCTATTAGTGGAAGCTAAGCTAAGCCTTTTACCTACAAAAGCCCAACAGGAATTTTGTCACTGTATTTCAAGAAGATCTGAATCAGTGCTTTGTATTTAAATCTATATTAAAAAATAGACAGTTAAAACCCACAGATCTTAAAGCATCTTCAAAACCCATAAGCAGCAGAACAGAAAATACACATTCCTCAGAGTTGATACTATGCGAGTTACACACTTGTAATCTATTTCAGAAAATAACTGCTTTTATTTCAAACAATGCTAATTTAATTAAGAATTAATAATTTTAAGCTCGGTGTAATTACAACTATGTAATTAGAAGTCATATAAAAATATTCATTAGAACTACTTTAGGGTGCGTAGTTTTAGCACATGCCAGTACTTACTGGTGTAGCAGACATAATGTACGCATGGTGTTTTCGCTATGGAAATGTGCAAAGGCAGTGTTAAATGTTCCCAATGTCCTGGAGTTACCACAGCTAGACAGTTTCACTAAAAGGAAAAAAAAAGAGTAATCCTGAATTCGCCGTGGAGATCTCCAGTGGTCAGTTAAGACACATGGTTCTAAGAAACTGAACTTTGTTCTTAGTATCTGTGTGTTTAAAGTGTGTATCTTTGTAATGTGTTAATGCAGTTCTATTATGATTTGTCACTATTTCTGAGGAGTTTTTCACCCTTAACCTCTTAGAAATAACTGTAAGTATGTGCGGCACTGAGAACACCAAAATCAGGAAACAGTAACACAGGATTCCTGTAACAATATTGCCTAGATTTTCCTTAATGTTCAGTAGTAATATAAACATTCAAGGTTTTAAAATTATTTTTGAGCAGGACTGTACAATGTCTCGTGTAAGGAAAACATTATTGCGTATTTTCTGTGGGTGGTTGAAAGAATGAATGGCTATTGATATTTATTGGGGAGCAAGAACCATAGGCCAACTTCTGTAGTGTTGCTGTAAGACTTTTTGATTTTAGACTAAATAAAATGTTAAATTTTTGACTGTTAGTTATTTATTACTGTCTATTCCACCCTCTGCTCCTCTGTTTGTTTCCGTGCCGGTATATGCATTTCATAGGATTTGGTTTAAAGAATGGCGTGTATGGTTTTGGTTTTTCTTTTCTTTTCCTCTTTTTCTTTTCCTCCAGTGATTTTGCGTAGCATCTTCTGAGATCTTCCAAACCACAAGTTGTAAATAATTGTTTCGTAGAGGTTTCATTTATTTTACCCATTTTAACTGATAATCATCAGCTAGGTTATCAAACTTTTTCATTGGAGTAGGTGCTGAGATCAGTGGTCCGGGTAAAGAGTTTCATTGTCAAAGCACCCAATAATGTGTGCTTATGTGTGTGTGTATAGATATCTATACAATATTTTCTTTTAGCTGATACAATTCTTCATTTAGATAAGGAAACTGCTGATGTTTATTCACAGCCCCTTACCCCACATCCCTCTCCTTTTTCCTTTTCAGGTGAAAGACCTTTTAAATGCAGCGAATGTGGCAAAGCCTTTAACCAGAAGGGGGCGTTGCAGACCCACATGATCAAGCACACTGGTGAAAAACCCCACGCTTGTGCCTTTTGTCCTGCAGCCTTTTCTCAGAAAGGCAATCTTCAGTCACACATACAGAGAGTTCATTCAGAGGTAAATACAATTATTCATAAAGTGGTTGGTGCTAATATACTGCTTATTTCATTTTCACTGTTTAAATTGTCCTGTTTGCTATTCCTGTGCTCTCTGGTGCTTTCTGCAGCCAATATAGATTTACTGCTGTAGTATAGAATCTTAGTTTGTTGGTTTTACCTGCAAGCTTTCCTAAAATAGCTTAATCTGAATAAATGTATACTTAGGATAAGTAGCAAAACCTTCATTTAGCGTTGTCTTTTCAGTACCTTGATAGGTTAATAAATTACTAGTGTTTTCAGGTGTATAAAAATGTACCTATGTCAGTCTTGGGAGAATGAGGGCTAGAATCAGATGAAGGTAAGCCAAAAGCAGCAAAGCAGAAAATGGTGAAATATTTCCAGGCCAAACAGCAACCCACTAACTCCATCATAAAGCATACTTGCAATTTGTCTTTGGAGTATATATCTCTCAGCCTTTTTCAGAGATTTTTTTTTCAGTTAGAGGTAGAAGAAAATTACAAAATAAGATAAAAAACCATTGTCGTCTCAGATCTTTTTATGCTGATTTTTTCTTCTTCTTTGTGACAGATGATATTTAACATTCAAAAGGTACTGCTATGATATTGTAACATAAACTGAGTAACATTAACTATGCAACTTTGTTCAGTAATTTCCTTGCTGACTTTTGTGATTTTTGGTTGGAAATACCCATAGAAAGAAACCTAGTTTTGATTTGGAAGGTATGAAGTGATAGAGGCAGCTTTTTTTTTTTCTTTCCTGCATGCA